GAGCACATGAGCAGCATGATTTCTGCATCTGCAGCAAAACCAGAATGAAACAGAAGTCCCCTGAAGTACAGATCTTGAAGGAGCTTACCTAAAGAAAAAAGCTCCCAAAGCAATATCCCGTATGACCAGACATCACTCTCAAAGGTGTAGACACAATTGAAAATACTTTCAGGTGCCATCCACTTCACAGGAAGACGAGCCTTTCCAGGGAAAAGAGAATAAATTCAGAAAATGGACACAAGGCATACAAAGTTTTCTACTTCTTATGTGCTTTAAATACTCATTAAATCAAGAAATAGAAGTATCCAACCAAAAATGGAAATCTCAGCATTTGAGAGTCTCCAAGTGCTGCATGGTTATTGATCCATCTTTCTGTGGGTCTAATCAACTGGTGCAGTTCCTTGCACTCAGATTTTCTTTATACTGTGTGATTCTTTCTGTCTTGTTTAGAAGGGATGGCAGGAAGTCAGAGCAAAATGATACACATGACCATAGCATGGTTCCTTATGCAAACATGCAAGTCTGCTTCAGTGGACTGGTTACCATAGGCACACAGGTGAGATTCTCACGGTCAAGGTGCTTCAAGGCTTTAGTCAACACTTAAGACATCTGCTTTAGCTCCTCAGTGTATCAGAAAAAAAATGAAAATTCACATGAAAGAAATATAGATTGACATTTTTCCTAAGTTAGTGTGGGGACAGACATCCCTCGGGAATGCTAATTAAAGCAGACACAGAAAGCCTTTGGATTTGCTTCCGCCTTCCTCTCCTTTGTCCTTTCCTTGTCTGACCATAGGAGCTGGTCAGGCTTCTGTCCTAAGAGTTTGTCCTGCTGTGGGAGAAGCCAGACCTCTTCCTTTTAAGTGCTCTTGCAACACCGTGGCCAAAGATGTATTTCAACCATACTTTAGAGAAGAGCCTTGGTGTCTTGTAAGGAAAGGAGACACAGCAGAAAAGGAAGTAAACGGAAAGGAAGAGAAAGGACGTGGAGGAAAGGCAGCGTTTGCCATGGGCTGGCTCACCAGAGAGACCACCCGAGTTGTTTATTTGCTGAACAACACAAGACAGCAAACACTCTTTTTGGCCAAGCTCCCAGCTGCTGTCAGCAGCACTGCTCCCAGCAGTGTCCACAGCTCGCGATGCCCTGGTGCTCCTGATCTGCTTTAAGATCAGGCCAGATGCAACTAGACGCCTCCTGCAGCCACTGCTTCCTCTCTCCCCAGGCAGCTGCAGCCTATCCTCCTCTGACCCTTTCGAGCTACGTAAAATCCTATTCTCAGGCAACTCAGGAAACTTAAAGGGTAGTCTAGACATGTAAAACTTAATTACTTACTGCCCACTTCCCTCCTAAGCTGCTGGTCTGCACTTCCCACTCCCAGGAGCCTTGACTGATCAAGCAGCTCCTGACCTGACCCTGAGCCTGAAAGCAGCTTTCTTACACTAAACACCACTCAGTATTTTGCCAGGACAGCCATTCCTGAATTATTTCTGTTCCTGTTGTTCCCTAACCTCAATTTCTAGGCACTCAGTGGCCGGTACCAACATTGCTTTTGAAGACAAACAATAAATACATCTCTCCTGTGGCCTAAAATAGGGATGCTGTAGGTATCTGAGAGACCAGGGACTGCTGGGTGACAGCAAAGCAGCAGAAGTATCTCAGTTACCTGAGGTGTCATAGACTGATAGGTTAACTGAGCACGGCAACCCATGTTGGTAAGAGATGCTCAGGTGTGGGATTTTCTCTCTTTATCAGCTTGCCCAAAGCCCAGATGGGCAACCTTCAGTTCGTGTGTTGTCAAATCTCTAACTAATGTCCAGCCTCTGGAGCACTCAGTGGGGCTGGGCAGGAGGGCTGCCTTGTTGAACGTGGATCTTGTCGTCTCCTTTGAAAAATGGTGCAAGTGTAAATGTGTACTCTGAAGGTACTGGATGGCTGCACGTATCTGATGCAGAGTTACAACATTAATCCAGGCAGTGCAAACCTATACCTTGTAGAACACTCCTCCAGCTTAACCACAGACAGACTGGGTTTTCTTTCCCTTTTTAGTAGGGCTTCTTTTACTGTACTAGCACTCTAAAGGAGACTTCCAGTACTGCCAAGGTAATCTGCACCACTTCAAAGCGTCTTTGTACCCCTGCAGAAGTCTAGTCCATACCAGTGTAATCAGTACTCTTCTACATAGGAGCTTTTAAACATTTCTTATCAAAATATAGTGTCTGTTCCAAACCTGTTACAGGGTTTGAATTACAGCTGCAAGTTAAAGCTGTATGTTACACATACGAGGTTAAAATCTGTATATGGAATCAGATAAAACCAAGGCTTTTTTGCCTCCCACTATGCCCTCATCGATAAATTCACACTTCAGAATCCAGTTTCTGTTGTCTGAGTGATGCTTTATTGCAAAGAACAGGATGCAAACCCTGGATTATTTAGATATCTTTAAAATAAACTATTTCAGTAATGGATAAATGCAGCAATGCCAAGAGAAAAAGTTTCAAATTAATTATATTTAGGATTGGGCTACCAGAATATTCCAATGGCAAAACTTGCAGTTACTCACAGAGCTGTAACTTTCAGTATTCAAATATAACAGAAAGACTGGGTGTTATGTTGGTGCAGCAAAAACGTCTCCTCCACTACAACATACATTCAGATACCAGCATGGTTCTTCCAGTATAACAACATGTTTATACCAAGGGTTTTGCTCGCACACACATCTCTGCCAGGAATTATCCCTCCTAACATTCCTGACCAGCATGGATATATAGCAGAACTGGGAAAGCTAGATTTTCATCTAAGAAAGACTTGTCTTTGCAAGTCAAGACAACAGGAACTCCTCTAACTTAAAACAGGTGGATAAAGTATCATATATACTCACGTTTCCTTTGACCACATAATTTGAGTCATTCCTTATATCTCTTGCCAGGCCAAAGTCACAGATTTTTGTTATTCGACCATGAGTTAGAAGAATATTTCTTGCGGCCAGATCCCTATGAATGCACTAAACAACAAACAGACAAACAAACAAAGCTATTTTATAATATCCTTAACAGGCTGTTGCTTGGTTACATGTCTACTTAGCTATGTAACTCTCTGCATTATGCATTTCACGGCAAGCTGAAAGTCATAATGAAGCCATCTGTTAATAAGCTTACTCAGATGATTAAACACTCCAGCATAGTATCTTTACTATCATGACATTGGTCCACGTAGTTAAGGTTGTCTATGCATTTATTTTAGAAAAAAAAAACATTTGCAGTCACTTTGAATTTTCTAGTGTTTCATGTTTGCAGCTAATGTTTAATGTACTTTTTCTCTGATTTCTTATAAAAAAAAATAATCACTGGCTTGTTTCTTAACACAGGACAAACAAGGGGAAAACATTGTTTGTTTCTAAACTAATTCCAATCTTCTATTAAGTAACTATTGTGGTTGAGGGAAAAGTGCTGACAAGCTGGAAAACGGGAAAATTACGGTAGCAAATTCAAAGCACTCAAGTCAGGAAACTGAATTCCATTCCAAAAATATTCCTCTAGAACACCTGAACTATTAAGTATCTAGGAGAGTTTTATAAGCAGATCTAAGTATCTGAAAATACTGGAAATTTTCACATGCCAGTATCTTTCAATGAACAGTCACACGTTCAGTGACCCAGCTAGCTTATATTCCACTTAATCACTTGAGAAGTGTGCCTGTGTTTGTAACTGCAGCTCCAGAAGCATGCCTGAGTTTCCTGGCAGTCGTGTTTTCTTTGTGTGCAACTGTGGAGCCCACATGCATTTGTTAGAGAATGGAGGTAGTTCTCTAACAAAATGTTCTATTTTTCCATCTGGAAAGGGGAGCGTTAAGGTCCCACTGTATTGATGGTATATAGTACACAGGCCACAGCTTTCCAAAAAACAGCTGAAGATGGTTAAATTTTGCTCTTCAGTTTTTCCTTGAAATACAAAACTTTACGAGTTCCCTACAAAAAATGAATTAAAACATCGAGTTATGCAAATCAAACTCAGAAAATTATAACTGCAGGTTGCATAAGCAACTTAATCTCTGTCCTTTTTGCATACTTACAGGAGGAACCATTTTTAATGACAATTACTTTCTCAAAGGACTCTCATTCACCTCCTAATCCCATATTCTTCACTTTGCGTATGTAAAGCTGAGAGCCTAACTGCATTGAAGCAGTAAAGTGAAGGAACAGCCAAGCATCCAGCAAGCCCCTGCCTCGTTTCTCCAGAAGCAGTGCAGTTTGCATTAAGTAAAGACATCATCCATTGGAGGAAGCCCTGTCTTGTGATTAAGGCACCATGTGCTTCATAAGGGAATTATCCCCCCTGGACAGACTCCTATTCCGACTCGTGCGCAGAGGTACTTTTATGCCTCTGAGCCTTGATACAGCAACCAACTAGTTGCAGAAGAGCAGCTGGGTACTCTGTGCTCCTCATCTGCGTGGATCCTCCTTCCCCAAGGGTGTGAGGCAATCTGAAGCATCCATCAGCCCACACTAGTCTGCATTTACTAGCTGGAGCTAAGAGCGTGCATGTACACAATGACTGCAGAGGACCGAGCAGAGTAATGTGTTAGCACAGTGCAACTTAATTCTCTGACAAAGCCATTGTTTCTGCACTGCCAAAGCGATACTGCGTGTTACTTCCTGACCTCACAGTGAGGTGCTGTTACTTTCATTATTGCCTTTGCTACTCAATGCCGCAGTGTCTGTTTGCATCCATGGAAAGACTATAAAGAAAACAGTCACTGGGAAAGATGCATAGTGAATTCTGGGGCTATTCTATAAGAAAATAAGAAGAAATAAAGAATTTGTGTGCTAAGCACCGGATGTCCTGAATAGTGAAGGATGCAGGAGCCTGGTAAAACCCATTAAAATCTGTAATATAATATGTTTGCCTGTCAGGCCTGTTTTAAAGCTGCTGATAGATGAAAAATAAACTAAAGAGTTTGGGAGGAACAGTGGAGAAAAAAAACAAGTGCAAGAGCAAGTTTTAATGTGGATTTCCTTTTGAGTAGAATTAGAGTGACATTGCCCACTAGTAACACAGGATCCTAGGATTACCTTATTTTTCTTAAATTGCATAACTTTGGTTTTGCGCTTTATCCAAGGTGCACCTGTATTATCCTATGTCTATATTAGCTACAATGTTTACAAGTTAAATGGCATTCTTCCAATAAAATGTAAGAATAACCATAGGAAGATAATAATTATGCTGCGCTTAAGACTTCTGTTCTTTATAAATCCCTTTCTGTTATGCAATACCTCTCCTATGAAACCCAGAGAAATGTCTGTTATGCTTAAGGTGGCCAACGAAGATTCTTTATGGGTCTCTAGGCTGATTTTATCTTTCCAGAAAATTAAAAACCGAGACGTATCCTGTGCATTAAGCCATACTGCTAAAAAAAAAGCACATGATGTGATAGCTCCCATTTAAGGCAGTATTCTGCATGAGAGAAGCAGCAAATGCAGCACTGATTAAAACTCAGGCAAAGAGACAGCTTTGCAACTGTCTTCATACTGTTCTTTAGCTTGTAAACTCTCCAGCAGTGCCACAGAGAATAAATCTTAAACTCTTGAGATTTAGTTGCTTTTTAAGGCATTCACATGTTAGGTTTCTGGTTCTTTCATGAATTCCATTTAATTCCCACATGCCAGAGAAGTATGAAGAAATAACTCCTCAGGGTTCCTATGTTTCCTTCAGTTTCTCCAAAGCCATCGCTACTCATGAAACGACCTGGATGCTCCAGGAAACGAAGGGCTAAAGATCAAACCCATAAGAGGCACTACCCAAGCTAGGCAGGGTTCAGCTGTGCCTGTTGTCTCCCAACACATGACATTATTAATCAGTGGAGTCTCATGCTGCAGAAAACATACTTTGCTGCAATTCCTCTCCTGTCTCCTCTCTTGACATTTCTATGCCGAGCTTCTGTTCAGGAACAAGGCCACTGATTCTACTAGCCTGAACTGTGGATACACAATAATACTGCTTCACGTTGATGACTTTGCAATCCTATATTCTGTTTTATGAGATATAAGCTACCACTTTTAGACAACGAGCACAATACAGAACTCCAGCCTTCGTCAAAGCTTCAGGTACGAGAAGGAGCATACCAGTTTGCAGCGCTTGTTGAAAAGAACATGGAAGTATTTCAGTATTTAAATATGTGGATCACATTAAGACATTGAAAGTGATGCCAAAGGAAATCAGAAATCTACTGATTCTGTCCAGCTCTGATAAATTCTTAACTTACATTTTTAGAGGCAAGGAAGCTCATGCCCTTTGCCACCTGGTAAGAAAAGCTTAGTAGATCTTCGACATCTAGAGCAAGTTCATCATCTTCCAACATAGAAAGGGTAACATCCTGATCGGTGTAGGACCCTACACAAAATAAACAACAACAGCTTTTGAGTGGATCAAGTACAATCATTTAGAAACAGACTTGTCTTATGTGATACGAAACAGTGATCTTAATAAGTACCAGACTAGAGCCACATAAATAGCCCGTCACTCCACTTAATTGTGGGGAAAAAACAAGACACTGTAATTCAGCCTATCAGTCTTTCTTAAGCCTTCACATACCAATTAATGGGTTTTAATTGTCAACATCCATGAGAGAAAAGTATGATAAAACTGAAAAAATTCATAAAGCCCTCCTCTCTGCACTCCCACCAGCAAGCAGAGTTCCTTGTCACTGTACTCACCAGACTTCACTGGTCGTTTTTTATCAGCTTTTGGTGGGACTGCATATGACACTCCTGGTTTCATGTCCATGTATTCATTGGCAACATCACTATAGAGGCAGCACATGAAATAAAACATCACTTAGTGAAAAAGGCCTCAGAAGCCATCCAAACAAAAAGCTACAATTACGCCAACCTTCTGAATATAACGCTTTACAAATGATCAGTAGGTTGGAAACTCATGCGTGTGTAAAAAAGAATGAGAAAAGGCCTGTACACAAAGGAAGATTCGTCAGTACAGCCAACGATACATCTTAAAGTTTGGAGTTTGGCTCAGGTTATCTAATAAACTGTTTCACATGTATACTGTTTATATAGACTTCAGTCTCTATAAATTAACATCCAGACATTTCACAGGACCTGCTAGCGCTTCCTTCTGCTTAGGTCAACTTCTACCAGGATATTTCAGCAACTGAAGCAGCAACTGAAATGCAGAAGACAAATGCTAAAAAATGCTAAATTCAGAGATTCCCAAGTTCCAAAGGGGATCCAAAAATATTTTGAAGAATCAGCCGAGGCTTGGGACAGCCATCTACTAGATTGTTTTATGTTTAAGTTTTCTTATTTCTACATATAATTCAAATAGACAGATTTTCATACTATATGGTTTATAAATATAGAGTTGGGCACCTTTAGAGCTGAGAAACTTTGGCGTTTTTCACTTCGTTGCCATTAGAACTCATATACTTAGCCTGAAATATCTGTTTACTTTGTGAACAATAAATGCAGTCACAGAGCTAACATGGAAAGGAGTGATAAGATCACCAATAGCTTTAGTCACCACCACAAACACATCTGATGCATTTAGCAGCTGCTACTTTACAGTAAATACTAATAGGAGAATTTGGTAAACACTACACCATTAATATCTCAATTTACAAAATGTGCTCAAGCAGTGAGATTTCTGCGCTGAAAAGAGGGCACGCCTACAACAGCAAATCACAGCTTTTTGTTCATCAGTTTGGTGGTCTCAATCTCTCTGGGGCATCACCAGCGATACACATATTGCCACGGCACAAGCAGCTTCACCAGTGCTAATTCTTGCTGGGACAAAGGACTTTACCATCTCCTAAGGGTCTGTCTGGTTCTTTTGCATCTGCCAACACAAAGCAATGGGCCCACTGGGGCAATAAACAGACTAAGAATAAAAACGGGCAAGTATTATGTTTTTGATAAGGTTTTGATAAGTTATGTCTCCTTCACTTTGCAAAGGGAAGAAGAAAGCAGGAAATCTGCTTGGAAATATACTCGGAAAGAGCTCTGCACCTGTATCTAAAACAGAGCAGCTAAAAATATACAGATGAAGTAACTGAAGAAAACTGAAGTACAAGAGCAATCTCAGAATCGTGACATGGGTCGTGTCATCACAAAATCTAGCAAGCTATCGGCAGCAGCTTGCCTCTGATGCTGTAAGGCGCTGCTTTGATTTTGTAGTGAGTCGTTTCTGAAGGCAGGATCTTAGGAGAGCTCAGAGTACTAACACCCCAACACTAGGGGAATTGTCATTCAAGCTGCTAAATGAGCACTGCCAATGTTTAACAGGAATGATAAACAGAAATACGTACAAAGACTGGAGCCAAGGAGTTGCATGAAATAACTACAGGAAATTTGATAAAGAAGTAAAACAGAGTGCATACAATCAATTGCTCTCTGTTAGAATAAACCACCCACTGTACAAATCATCTCTTTAATTAAATTGTTTCCTTGCACAGCAAAGAACCTTCAAAACCCACTGCATGAAGGCATTTCTTATCCCTAATAAACTTTGGTATCTCCTCCTTCTCAATCTTCTAAAACCACAAGTACATTTCAGCAGGTCATACTTACGCTGCAGGCTCTGCCTGATGTACAAGGTTCTCGTAAACTGCTGTTTCTGCATGTTCTTCATGTTTTGGACAAATAAATGAATCTCGTTTCCGTCTCAGAAAATTTAACAGATCACCATAGCAGCAATATTCTGTAATGACCAGAGTGGGACCTGTAGATGTACGTGAGGTTTAGAAAGCAGGTGAGTATTGTTTTCATAGCAGAAAAGCTCACATAAAGATAGCATTCAGCCAAGCACACAGGCTGGGCTATTAAAAATCACACTGCCTGGCACTGTCTAGACTTGAAAAGTTATAGAAAAGTAACCCGGCATCTTCCCTTTCACAGATCAGCAACTATTGTCCAGCTAAAGCTGTGTCACTCCCAATTAATTTCCCCCCTCCACCTCAATAGCACTGGATTTTAGAAAAATTAAACAAATAAGTCTTTTTCTCTTTCTTCATGTGATAATGTTTCTGGCCAGACACATCTGTTTGATTTTGCTCACTTCCTGAAGGAAGTTATTTGTTCCAAACGTTAGAGTAATTCAAGCTTCAAACATTAATCCTTTTGATTCACTTCTGTTTACAGCAGAGCTTCACACTCCTTCAGTAATGTTTTGGAAATGATGTAGAGTGTTATATTCTGCAGTATAATAGGAAAAATCATTCAAACAGAACAGCCTGCTGCGACAGAAAACTACATTGCACAAGGTCTTAGAATATTAAAATGAAATCGGAAAGGAGAATCAAGTCATCTCCAGCACGGATGTTTATAGATCAAATATATGTTTTCTGAGTGAATGACTCCAGCTATGGCCCTTGAATATGTAATTGCGCTGCGCGTTATTTCATCTGTGAGGTTATTCTGTACCACAGTTTCCTAACCTCACTAGTGTATTTCCATTTTTCTGCAGTTAAAAATTATAGCTTGCGTAATAGCAAAAGCAGCGTTTGTGGCAGGATTTTCTTACAGACGCCACATTTTTTCAGCTGAGACAGACATGCACTCAGGCCAGTGAGTCTACTTTGTCAACTGCTTAAACAAAATTGTTTGATCCTATTTTTAAATCATTAAATATGAAAGTGAGAAGTGTTTTGCCTCCGTCTAAAAGTATGAATTTTTGTAAGCTCCTTTTCTTTGAAAAATGAAGCAAAAACTTAGAAAGCAAATATTTGTGTAAGAAGCAGCACCACCTTTCATATTAAAATACACATAAATTAAAAATACAGGACTGTATCTCTCTGTATTGACACTTCAGCTGTTTTGTAGCTTTTACTACATATGAGCACAAACTTATTAAGTTAACATTAAATGTGAAAAATTTGGGTTGTGCAACAATTTATTTGGAAAACTCTTTTTCTCAACTTTCTGCTGCTTAGCATTTGTAACTTCAGTGGTGCCTTAACAGATATGTTTACAGTTTAAACAGAAAGCTGGAAGACTACACAAGACAGGCCTGTTGACTTCACCTTGGAAACCAACAAGGAACCAGTTCACGTCTCTTTTCTCATTCATAAGAAACAGTGCAGTTGAGGAAAAAACTTATGTTGTACATTCAAGAAGAAAGTCCATAATGGCTCACATGAAAGAGAATAACAGCAACCTTCCTTTTTAGCTGCAGTTACAGTGGTCTCCTTACTGCTTTTAGGATGAGCCTAAAATTTAGATTCAGTAATTCACAGGTGATAGTCATCATGATTCGCAACCTGCTTTAAGCAAGTAATGTATTTAAAGATTTCTATACTTAGCAGCACGGGATTCTTCTTCACAAGGTTTCTCTTTCTGGCAATAAAAAAGGAACAGAAATAATCAATAATCTGTTGATAACCCCACCTCCAATAGTGCAAGCTCCAAGCAGATTCACGATATTGATGTGGTTTCCAAGGTAACTCAGCACTTTAAGCTCTGACATCAACGCTTCTCTTTCTGTCAAATGGGCACTTGCTGCAAGGCAAAGTACAATATTCAGCATGTAACACACTGAGCAGAAAGAAGTGAGAAAAAAATTGTACAGTATATTACAGTAACTTACGTTTCAACATCTTTACTGCTACTGTCATAGCAGCATCAGATTTAAATAGACCATAAGCAGTGGCTTCAACAACTTTTCCAAAAGCTCCAGCACCAAGAGTTTTACCTAATAAAGCAAAACAAAATACTGTGTAATGACTTGGAGCACTTCTTCCTGAAGGATTCAACATTTTGCTTTACGATATCAAAGAAGCTATTGTAGATACGCCTGCTTTCTTTTTGTCCCAAGGTAAGCGTGAGCAATTACTACTACTTGCATTATCGCACATCGTCTTTTCGACAAAATCCTGCTGTGTTTGACCAAAGTCTCACATGAGACCTGAAGATTTCACCTCGCAGATGAAGTTAAATAAATCTAAACTAACCAAAACTCAAACGGTTTCTAGGAAATTCCCATTTGTGATCATAAGGAAGTTGCGTTGGGTCTATGTAAACATAGTTGTTTCCATTTATTTCTTCAACAACTTTCCACTGAACTTCGTATTTGGGTTTCTGGAAAGGAAAGAGAACGGCTGTCACTACCGAAGCCTCCACAGGCAGCTCACGCACGTTCCTAACTCAGGCAGAGGGGCTTCTGATTTTACCTGTAAATATATGTACACCAGGATCATGACTATGATGCACATCAGTCCTGCAGCGACTCCAAACGCGATTAGTAAAGGGGTGAAAAGGGTATGGGTACGGATTTGTTCTGGAAAGAAACAAGAGAAAATTCTGCTTAAATACTGAACAGGAAAAACTAGATCAAAAAGGTGCAGGTGGAAACCTTTCCTTGGTTCTTCCTTGTGAAACATGGTTTGGAGTTTTGACTTTCCCAGATATGTGCCAGGTACATCAGAATGGCTTTCCTGAATGAGCTGTGAGGACAGAGCTGGCACAGAAACCATTCAGTTTGTTGCCTCAGGAGTCTCAGCTTCATTAATTCAGGAGGCATGACACCATGATCAATTAATGCAAGGGGTTTGCACGGTCTCAGTCAAGCCTTTTTCCGAAGTCCTAATTTCTTCTCCTTTTTTCCCCCCAAGTATGATTTCTACAGCACAGGCTTTAAAAGTAGAGGTTGTGCCGAGTAGCGAAGGAATACCATTCCAGTAAAACCAATCTGCCCCAAATCTGGCTTATTTGTTTATACGTTATATCTGGGTATAACAGAGAAAAAAGAAGCAGCAGAACATTTGATTTTGCAAAGAAGAGCACAGATTTACAAACACATTTCGAGTCATCTATGTTCTAGTACTTTTTTTTTCCCCCACAAACCCACAAAAACTGCTACAAAACTCATAAGCCCTTTTGCAGTGTGTTGTTGTCTCTTCTTTTACAACAGCAGGGCCCTTAGGCTCCAGTCAAGTTCAGGACAGCATTTTCCTGAATGTTGTAAAAACATTACAAAAATGCAGGTTTTCCTTGAAAAAAAAAAAAAAAAGATGGCCTAAATAGTCAACACAAAAAAAGACAGGGACAAAAAAAGGGAGAGAGAGAAGGAAAGCCAATGTAACGCTGCAGGTGGTTTGCCACTGTGCTGCACAGACAGAAGAAAACCAGCTACCTCCTGTGCTGCAGATCTGAAGCCATAAAAAGATGATACCGCAACATTTATTTAAAAATTAAAGCAATGGTGTGGCAGGCAGGACATTTAGCGTAATATGTTATCGTACGATCAGTCACAGTACTGTAAACTTTCTTATGGCAAAGGTAACACCCTTAAAATATGAGTCCTCTTATGCAGGAAAGTGCTGAATGGCACCCGTGTTTTATGGTCTCATTCACTCCAGCCGTTACCTTTAATGGCAAAGTTGAAGAAAGCAGAGCTCCTGTCCCCATTGCTGGAGGCCTCGCAGCACACGGTGCCGGTGCTCCTGAACATGCTGGCGTTAATGGTGCTTTCAACCAGGATTCGTTCAAACGATGGCACTGATGAATTTGTGTAACTGACTTTGACGTCCATGGGGGATATTGTTGGTGAATCAAAACACCTGGGAGAAACAACACTGACAGTTACCTGCCGTGGATTGCTACTGAAACGGACAACAAGTCCTGCTGTTGAGGCAGACAGTCACTGCCAGACCATCAGATAACTAAACAACACTGCTCTGCAAAGGATTTCAGCTGAAGATTTTATCCTCAAAACTCATCCCACTTACATTACACTGTCTTCTACACAGTGAGTGAAACCGATATATATACCAAGCCTGACCCAACTAGACACCATGAGGTCTTTGCGTCCACTTTTGGCTAGAGATACCTACAGGTCTGTAAGTCCACTACAGGTTTTGTACCGTTCAACCTTCATCTCCAGCTTCAGCTTCGAGCAGTTGTGGTCTACTACCTAATCTTGAAAACTTTCACCAAACATCATTTTATTACGGCACAAAAAAATTCCATGATGCACATACAACACCATCAAGCTTATACGCAGCCAGACAGTTCTGTTCTCTCAAGATGCTGCCTCTCCTTCATAGGTCACATATTTACTACAGTAAATGAGCACAGTTAAGATAAAAAAAAAAGTATTATTTAAAAAAATAAGGGAAATAATTATTTTAGGCATAAAACAAATTATGCAGGTGGGAGACTCATGACTTGCTAGTACGAGATCTACAACCACAGTGGCAGTCAACTAAAACCTTAAAACATGTTTCACAAATGCTTGCTTCATTTTTTAGAAACATGGCAACTAGACATCAGGTTTTACTCACAACAACTCCGCACTTGTTTACTTGTCATCTGCTTCATGTGAATAGAAATCTAATTACTTTATGTCTTGAAAAATTATATCATTACACAATAAACCAAAAGACTACAGCCATATTCACAAGTGATTCTTTGACTGTCATTCTGTGAAATTGCATACGGAACGTGTGTCATTCGGGGCCAAACTGATACAAACCTTAGCTACCTTGCAGCAGGGAGAAACTTTGGCTTTTACTTTTCTGCAACAGAAAATGTTGGTTATTCCCCTTTCAAGGACGGAATGCAAAGGGGAATAATGAAACGTACCCCCTGACTTTCCCTCAAACCACTGCAAATAATGCAATGCCAAAAATTATGAAAACAGTGATGTAACGTTTAAACATAACTGTTAGCCAGTCATTTTATGTTCTTAATTTTTAATTATAAATTGGATGTGTTGCCTCTAGAACAATCTTTGTAGAGTCTAGTTACTTAACTCACCTCTGCTCAGTTCCTGGGCAAAAATACCAATATATGGTAGGGGCTGGGAATCCAGCTGCTACGCACTGGAGAATGCCATTGCTAAGTATATCCAAAGTAAGAATTTCTGGTTTTGCTGCAATAAATACAAACGAGAGTCACACATTAGAGGAACACAGCACTTGCAATTGCTCTTCACCCCAGCAACTTGTGTGCATGATCGTCCGTGGAATTACTCAGGTGAAAAGAGTTTCACATGTTCAAGGGTGTCCAGGTCTGACCTGGTGCAAGCACTGACCATCTGTGAAAATATCAGCTCTTAAATGGAATGCTTGGGCCGGATTTCAGAAGATTACCTTGCTCTCACCGAGTATTTGGTTTGATGAAAAATCCTAAACCATCAAAGCCCAGAGCTTAAACAACTCAAAGAAGTGTGTGCTTGGAACAACAGTGCAGTTCCCGTTCCTGCACAGCATGGCTTTTAGTCGTCTGTAAAAAGGACAGTTTCTTCACAGTTACAAGTGTACTAAATCTGTCAAACCACATCTCTTACTTCTGCCCTTCTGTATTAAATACTACCACTGCGGCCAGAAAAGGAACTACAGTGCAAGGCAACCAGAGCAGACCTCCCTGTCCCCACAGAGGACATACATCTCCGTAAGATAACACTACCGAAATGCCCAACTGCCTGACTCTCTGAAACGTTGCACATAGAGGAAGCTATATTTGGCTGAATGTATTAGCCTTCCAAATGATAATTTGTGATTGCTTTGGTAGTTTAGAAAGCCATTCGACCAGCTGATGCCTCCCACTGCGTCCTGCACCGGAGCTGGTCCTGCACTCGGATCAGCAGCTGCTGTTTCAAGTATGGCAGGAAACCAGAGCCATCAGATGGACTTTACAGTCCTTAGTCCTGAAGGCACAGGCCTTCAGCTGAGGGCACCTCCAACACAGCAAGATTTATTTCCTAGAGAAAATTGAATTAGAGGCTTTATTTCCCATAAGCATCTTAGCTTCCTTGCAAAATTATCCCCAAAAAAAGTTAATGGAAAAACCTGACTATATTCCAATGATGCTGCTCACCTGACAGGTACAAGTTAGGAGTCCATTATCTGTTAACATAACTTTACTAAAATGTAAGATAAGCAGCTAATATTCTAGAAAGTTGTGAGGCTGTATAGACTACAGTGGGAAAACACAGATTTATTTCAGACAAAATCCACGTACAAAGACTGCACGACATGAGTTTTTAATGAATATTCTACTTGCTGATTAAATTAGAGGCAATAAAGCACATGTATATTCCCAATCACATAGCAGCTCCTCATGACTCACATTACAGGAACCCAATGTTCTTTCATTTCTAAATCCGCATGTTGTGTTTTATGCAAACCTCCAAGGACCATACATTGTTGCAAAATGTTGAGACGGATTTTCAGCATTACTCATTTGGTGAGGAACCTTTTGAGAGTGCACAGCATCTCGCTTAGCTGTAGTGCTCATGGATACACATAATTCACATTTCCGAAACTCCTATCAAAATGGTCGGATTGTGAAATTGTAATTAGTTAATCTACTACCCATATGTAAGCAATTTGTTTAGGTGTATGCTCTGTTCCAGGCAATGTTACAACACAATGCAATTCAAGAAATGAGAGAAATGTCCTGGTTTCAACGGGGACATTTTTCTTTTTAGCAGCGAGAAGAGCTCTGTGTTTTGGTTTTGGTCTGGCATTCATTATGAGAAAAACGTTGATAATGCACTGATGTTTACAGTTGGTGCTGAGACATCAAGGACTTTTCAGCTTCTCATGTTTTTGCCAGTGTGCAGGAGCACAACATGCTGGAGAGGGAGCATGGCCGGGACAGAGGGTCCACAATTCCCCTAAGGATTTGCACTTAGTCCCAGGATTGAGGGTCAAATTGGCCAATGGAGTATTCCATATCATGCAATGTCATGCCCAGTATAAAATGGGTTGACCGGGAAGTCTGGCTCTCCCACTCTTCCGAGGTCTCTCTCTTGGACTCTTGCAGGGCTCTCTCACTCTCGCTCTCTTCCCCAGCCTCTCACTCGTCTGAGATTGCACTGTTGGGACTTACCTGTTTTGGAATTGTTTGCCAGGACAGGACAGGTGTTGGTCACCAAGAGGTGAGCAATTACACTGTGTGTCACTTGTTT